TCATTGTGTGTTTTTTATTTTCTTGTTTAGTTGTGTGTTTTAGTTCTGTGTTTTATTCTTCTGTTGGGAGTTTTTGTATTCTCTTATTGGAGTTATTGTTTTTTAGGATTGGTATACTGTGTTTAGGTTGGTTCTAGGCTGCCTCGGGTTAGATGCCTATGGGGTTAGTCCTCCCAACTAGATTCAGCCGAATAGTTGATTTATTCATCTATTTAACTGCTTTCTAGTCTGTAATTACGTGTTTTTCTTTTATTGAAGCCTATCGTTTGAAAAAAAAAAAATGATAAAAATGTGGAATAAATTGTTTTGAGAAGGAGTGAAATATTATTTAGATTATAAACATATATAAGATTTAAATGAAACGATTAGAATTAATCAGTTTTGTTATGGAGCCATCGGATGACACGACTTATGGAACCATCAACACTAATTTACAAATAGTGTATTGACACGTGTCTTATAATGAATATACTTTGAATAGGTGTCAAACTGTCAATATATTAAGTGGTGGATGACTTTATAAAAAAACCATCCAATAGCTCTATACAATTTCTGTTTGATATGATATGAAATGATAATATATTTATTGATAATGTTTGGTAGTTAGAAATTACTAGTGATTAAATAGTATTTTTTTTATTGAAAAATGTATAATAAGGATTTATTTTTAGTTTTAATCAAAAAGAATGAATGAATATAGATTTAATAAATTATTTTTGTTTTATTCACAATTTCTATTAGATAAATACTAAGGAAAAAAATGAAATCCATAATGTTATAAAGCAGAAAAGATGGGAATCTATAACATGGCAATTGGCATTGCAAGCTATCGCCTATTAACATGCAATTGTCGTACATATGCATTTACACATTTCTGATCTCATGGTATAATTTTGAAGTATAAACCACAAAGCTCATCAGTATGAGATTGGTCTTCTTTTAGCTACTATATGAGTTTACGCGTTCTCATGGCTTTTAAGATTCCGTTCTTTAAATATTCTAATTTCTAACCAATTAGCAATGAGAAATGAATTAATAAAAATAGAATATAAATAATACTATTATATTTAAAATTATATAATTTATTAGAAAATAAATGTAAAATGAATAATTAAACATAACTATTTATAATCTATCATTTTTTTATTAGATATAACAAATAATAATTATGCTCGACATAACTTTAACTATTTTTATGACAAAAAAATTTAACTCGTGTAGAATTAAAATAAGTAGAAATATTCCAGCTTAGTTCTGATGCTTGTGGAATATTTAATTTTTAGAATTACATTTCGATTAGTTGAATATAAGTAATTAAAATTAACTGAACAACCACTAAATAGCCAAAAAAAAAAAAATATTTTATAGAGAAAATTGTAAATTTAGTTCCACATGATTGGACATATTGTAAATTTGGTCCCACAAATTGCGAAAATGGTCATTTGTTTTTTGTTGTTGCAACTTTGGTCTCATCGTTAGTACTAACCATTAGTCAAAATGGGACTTGATTTCCAGCTTGGGACCAATTTGCCCAATTATCGAGATCAATTTCGCAACTTCCTTTTAAAAATTTATTAACTTTAACAGTTATTTCACCAAGTTATATTTTGATATTTGAGTCTTACATTTTTAATAAATTTAATTTCTTATTATTTTATTTACATCATATCATTTATAATAAAATCATCATACAATACTGTCTTTTTCCTAAATTATTTTTTAAATGTAAAACAACACGATAAAACTAACTAATTATTTTTGTAATTCTAAAGGTTAATAAAATAAAAATATAAAATAATATTAGTTAAGATAAAATTGTGTAAAAAAAATGATAATATTTATTTTTTATTAGTAATTTTATCTAAATATTATCAATTTTTGATATATCATATCATTGTAATAAATGTTGTTTCATATTTTTGTTGTATGAATACTTTCAATTATACATGCTAGACGGCATCCACACGCAATAATTTTTGCCTAAACAACTCTTGTAAGTACGGCCGACTAAGCGCCATCCAGGTGGGTCAGACGACATATAGGCGCCTTTTCTTTTCAAATTATAATAAAATAGGTTTAATTTTATAGATAAAATATATATTAATTACAAAAAAATAATAATAATAATTATATTAAAATTAACGTAATAGCTCCGGATATAAAATATTTTACATAATCATATTAATGAGTATATTATATATAATGTAACATGTAAATTATATATGAAAATAGATATAAATAAAGTTATTAATATTTTACGACTTCGTCTATGTCTAGACTAATCCCTGCCTAAGTGATAGGCACCAGCTTGCTGCCTAGCAAAAGTTTAGTGACTTTTATAACCTTAATTATTTTATTATCTATTTTTTTAATGTCAAACTATTTATAGTTTAATATATATAATTCTTTATCCCAAAAAATAAATATTTTTTTTTTTAAATACAAGTACTATTTTATCACATTGTTATTAATGTTCTATTATTGCTCCTATTTCAATAACCGACTTGCTATAACTACGAGATATTTACAACATCATTACTAACTAGAAAACAATTTTAATAATTTTAAAAATTCATGTTGTTTATCTTGTATTTTATCATAATTTCAAATCTATCTCATTTGTCTTACCTATATTTTCAGATGAGACAAGATTTGGAAAAAAAAAAAAATATATACAATCACAAACCTATAATTTCATTTCATAATTCGCATGGTTAGTTACAAAAATAACTTAAGCCCTCCACTCATGTAAATTTCTAGATCCATCCCTGGTCGTCGCCCCTGTCCCCGCCGCCGCCCCTCTCCACGGCTAACACTTAACCGTTGTCTCTCCACGACCCGCCGAGCTGCAGGCGGCAATAGTTCCGACAGTGCTAGAACTGAGAAATAGAATTGAAGGATGCGACAAATTTAGATGAAATTGCGCGAAAGGGAGACAATTGAGTCGAGTGCCCAATTGTTGCAACGCCATGAAAGTGAAGCGTGAGAGTGTAGGTGGTCGAGTTTCAGAGGGGTGGATTTGAGCGTGGACGCCATTGATGCTCGTCTTATCTTGTGTTTATATTTATGCAGCCCCTCAAATTGAATATAATAATAATAATTTTTTATTATTAAATTAATATATTTTTCAATTGATTAATTTGATTTGTACAAAATTAATAGTAAGATTGAGTCTCATATAGTCATTGTAAGGAATGGACAATAAATAAATATGAATATTTAGATTAAATGCTACCATTGTCCTTTCCAAAAAAAAAAAACAAATACAAATTAGATGTCTTTTTCTGAAATCGGAAGGCATAAATTCCCCCTATTTAAAATTACCCGACGGCAAATTAAGATGGCAAAGTGGGGGACTTATTAGATGCCTTTTTCCCAACCAAACTCATGGTTTTCTAGTCACGTTTCTTTTCAGAGGATTAGGTTTTATCTTGTTTTCCCATTGTAATTTTTCTGGTAATTATCTATTTGCAACCAACCATCTGTATTTTGAATTTGCCTAACATTATTTGATTCCATGCTGAAAATCCCGTGTTGCCTAACTGAAATTTTGATAGTGAGCGAAAGCGTTAGTTATTGTTCCACGTCGTGTACTTTCTCTTTTGTTTATATCCACTTCTATTAGGATTGATCATCACTTTTTCGTTGAGTTGTTTCCTGGATATGGTTATGACTTAATGTGTATTAATGATTAAGAAAAGATATGACAATAA